CTCTCATTGGTGCTGTGTGCCTCTTTCACTGGTGCTCAGTGTGCCCCTCTCACTGGGGCGCAGTGTGCCCCTTTCATTGGTGCTCACTGTGTCCCCATTGGTGCTTAGTAGTTATTGGCTGCTTTTCATTGCTGGTCAGTGGGAGCTGTAATATTTTAGAAATGCTGCACAGGTTTCACTCCACTTCCTTCCAACTCCCAGGTCTCTGCAGAGGGACACTGGGATGGAGCTTTGCAGGCAGCATTGAGCTAGATATCCATCCATCTAGCACTGCTTGCATACCCCAGGAGAAGGAAATATCCTCTTAGTTGTCACAGAACAAGTGTCCCCACTGAAGATTTCACCTTTATTCTGTAACATTTAGGATCACCCATCACTTTCTATATAGATGACAATGGCCACCAGGACAGAAAGGGGAATCACCGCAGAGTGAATCCAGACAATTAATCATCAACAAATCATGGTGATGGTTTTAGTCCTTCCCTAATTTATCCAGGACTACAAAACAGGAAGCTTGTTTTTCAATATACTGACATAGAGTATCTGACCAACATGTCACCTTTAGTGGCCCTTGGAATCAGGGCTCATACTGTCAGACATCAACAATATTTATGACTCTCAGCTTTAGGCCAGGTTCACAGTTGGGCGATCCGTGACCACGCGGCAATCGTACACGAAACCGCACGGATGGCCGTGCTGTCACGGAATCGCCCACCAACGCTGATCACGCTGGCGGTGTCATTATTTTCCAATGGATTGTATGGTTTCCCGCCATGATTCCGCCAGTGCAATTTCCACACGGATGTTCAATAATCAAAAGAAACCCATCGCACACCTGACCTGATGATACCCTCAAGTAACGGGTGGGTGCCAAGCGACCACTGATGCCTCCGCAAATCCGTATAAATATGAAGAAGTCACTCGCACTCTAGCTCAAGTTCAGTCCATATATTATTGACCTCTGTGGTGTCACAACATGGCGACATTTCGGAACCTGTTTGGTCCCGTCATCAGGCACAGCTCTCTGTGTTTGCCTGATGAAGGGACCAAATAGGTTCTGAAACGTCACCATGTTGTGACACCACAGAGATCAATAAAATATTGACTGAACTTGAGCTGGAGTGCGAGTGACTTCTTCATATGTATGCCACATGGATGTAACTCAATTAAAATCAATGGGGCCGCGGGGCAAACGCACACAATCGCACGTCCTGGGACCGCACAAGTCTGCACCAGCCCTCATCATGCTAAATATGACTCTACAATGAATTGGGAGACAATTGGTGACAAGTCTTGTAGCAAACCAAGCTCAATGTAAAATGCTCTGTATTTTTGGAACATGTATTTAGTGTTGCTTCATCTCTTGTAGCATGCCCCTAGTCACGGACCATCTCTTGTAGCATGGCTAAAGTCTTAGACCATCTCTTGTAGCATGTCTGTAGTCTCGGACCATTTCTTGTAGCATACCCGTAGTCTTGGTCCATCTCTTGTAACATGTCTGCAGTCTTGGGCCATTTCTTGCAGCATGCTTGAGGTCTCAAACCATCTCTTATAGCATGCCCCTAGTCTTGGACCATCTCTTGTAGCATGTCTGCAGTCTCTGACTCTCTCTTGTAGCATGCTTGTAGTCTCAAACCATCTCTTGTAGCACGTCCTGTGTCACAGACAATCTTTTGTAGCATGCCTGTAAAGTGGGACTTTCTTTTATAGCATGCCTGTAGTCTCTGACCCTCCCTTGTAGCATGCCTGCAGTCTAGGACCATCTCCTGTAGCATGCCCATAGTCTCAGACCATCTCTTGTAGCATGCCCATAGTCTTGAACCATCTTTTGTAGCACACCCGTAGTCACAGACTATCCTTTATAGCATCCCAATAGCCTTGGACCATCTCTTGTAGCATGATTGTAGTCTCGGACCATCTTTTATAGCATGCCCATAGTCTCGAACCATCTCTTGTAGCATGCTTGTAGTCTCGAAACATCTTTTATAGCATGCCCATAGCCACAGACCATCTTTTATAGCCTGCCCATAGTCTCGGACCATCTCATTATATGTCTGCAGTCCCGGACCCTCTCTTGTTTCATGGCAGCTTTCTGTAGCAATGCATTTACTGAACATGATTTGCAGTCCTTTGGTGACTTTAGGGGCCACACTCCAGTCCCCCTACATCAAAAAAAATTTGCCTCCCCTCAACCCCCAAATCAAAAATACAAAAAATACTTTTGCCTTTAGCTTCACTTTAAACAGTTTCCCTTTCACTTTCACCTGCATGCAGTGTATGCGGCCATACAATGTGTTCAGTGATTACATCTCACTCAGCAGACAGAGACTTTCAGTGTTCCCTGTGATACTTTGTACTATTTATTCTTATACCGCCGCCAGCTGCGTGTGCGCGATGTCCGGTGACCGGCGTGTGCGGCAGTGCCGGGGACTCAGTCGGCGCTGACCCGCCGGAGCCCCCCATTGACCCCAGTGGCAGCCCTTGTCGCTGCACTCTGTCTCTCCCCAGATCGAGGCTGCTCTCATTCTCCTCTCCCTCTCTCTCTCATTTCCACTCTCAGCCAGCCGGGGGACCCTCAGGGTCGAAGGTTTCGCCCTGTCTGCGCAGACCTCTCCACCTCCCGACCCCTCCAGCTTCCTCCACCCAACCCCATCCATGGAGCGGCACTGAAGGCAGCCCAGGGACACAGCCAGCCTGGAGGAGAGGTAATCATCAACCCGGATTAGAGAGGGGATGTAAATCAGATGGAAACAACACACAAAGCCTGTGGGTTAGAGGTGCCTTGTCATAGCAAGTACAAGGGCAGACGGAGGCTGTGCCCCCCCTAGCAGCCTCCACCTCCCCTGCAGCCTTTGCATTCATTCTCATCCTTCACTATTCTGCAGGATTCCTATTTTTTATTCTCTTCAAAAAAAAGCTAATTAATTGAATAGCGACATGATCTGCCCTTTCCACTCCTCCTCCCCCTCCTCTCTTCCTTCCTCTCTTTTCCCTTCTCTTTCTCTATCCCTCTCCTTCCAGGTAAAACACAAAAAAAGCAGCCATCTGGAATTTTTTTTTTGGGTTGCAAGGTCTGGGGGGCATTGCAATGTCACATCAGGCCAAGAGAAGCGGCTTGTGCAGGGAGCGAGAGGGGGGGAGCCATGCCAAAAGTGGCCTGAATATTATTCCCAGGGAGATGTCTATTGTGATGGAGGCAGGGCAGTCATACACAAGACAGATTCCCCCCCCCCCT